TAAATTTACTAAAAAATAGAAATGAGTTATCTTTGTAGGACGAATAAAAATGAAAAATAAGTCAGATGTGACGGAACGGAGAAAATATTTCATAAAAATATATATTATATTAAAAAGAATTGGCTTAAGGTAATATTCTAAAATAAAGTACAAAAAGTTGTATTGAAAATATAAAAAAAGATGAAAAATACTACTTTTAATTAAATATTTAATTTCTATAAAAAGACATAATATATATTATATTGAAAATCGCATAGTAAAATATTGTTTTAAGTCAACAATGCCACATAATAATACATATTATAAAGCACAAATAAATAAACCCATTAAAAAATTAATAATAATAATTTTATTATTACAATATATTACTCCATCCGTCCCAAATATAATATCTGCTACACTGTAGACATAGTGTTTTAGGAGATGTGTAATTAATAGATAATTAAGAATATATTAGTGAAAATAATTATCCTATAATATAAATAATTATAAATTAAGATTAAGATAACTAATTAGTTTAATTATAATTAAAATTAAAAAATTTAAAATGAGATTAAAATGTGTAATCATTTTCAAAAAAAAAAGAAAGTGACATGGTATGTGGGACGGACAGAAACGACAACATGAACATAGTATCTGGAACGAATGGAGTAATTAATTAATTATAATGATTAAGAAACAAATCCAATGTACTCCATATAAATACCATACTGTGGGCTACAGATACATCTGTATTTGGACGAGCGGCGGAAATGGCTTGCCGGCGCTGCGCCGCCGCCGTAATTTTATTAATTTAAAAAATTAAAAAAGAAAAAAATTACTCTGGAGATTTGATTCTTTACCTTCTTTAGTATTCCCAATGAATTTCTTTTACCTAGCTAGGGTATTTTATTGGGAATTTGGATATTGAGTTTAAAATTTGAAAATAAATAATTTTATATTATATAAATAGTATTAATACAATATTTTTTTAAAAAAAAATTAATATAATTTAAAAAATTATAAATTATGAAATTTTGAGGAAAGCGCAGGACAAATTAAACACCGTCCTAATTTTATTTTTTTTAAAAAAATATATTTTTTAAAATTAATTTTGCTGGATATTTTCAATTAAAATATATTATTTATCTAATAAATATTAATTTAATAAAAAATACAAATTAAATATCAATTCCAAATTTAAACCAAACACATTTATCTACCATATATATTAAACCTACACAAACACAACCCCTTATTAAAAGAAAAATAAAAAAAATAAAAACATACACACTTTTTTTTTTTTTACAAAATATAGAAAATAGTATAAAAGTATTTCATTTAAACCACTTTCACAAATTTCTAAATTTTTTTACAATTTCTAATAATTAATTTAAAAATCTTAGGTTTGTTTGGGTTTAAATCCAAAATTAAGTTATTCAGGTTTTATAAATATTATTTAATTTAAAATTCAAATAAAAATCAAACAAAACTTGCATATTATTTCAAATCAAAACAAATATTTTATGAAGTATTATTTTAAATTAAATTTCAAAGTGAAGCCAAACCCTATCTAAAATACTTTGTCCGCCCCGACAATAGATATATATTTTCTTTATACATAAATTAAAGAATAAAAATATGTTAATCAGAGTTGATTAGAGCGGACAAGAATATACATTGTTAAAAGAATTCGATTTGAATCTAGCAGAAAAAAGGAAAATCGTATTCTAAACAACTATTTTTGAGACTTGTCTCAAATGTTAACACGAGTCTTTCCATCGTGTTTTGTCATCACTCACGCGACTTTCAATGGGATAACTCATTTTCAAATTACTTTAGAAGAAGTACGCTTAACTCTAAAGTTCTTTAAAAAAGAATATGTAAGATATAAATAGTCTATTAAATCAATTTAATCTCTATTCAATCTTGGATAGTCTAGCATGGTCTAGCATTGACCCGTCTCCAGTGGTATCACATCCACCCCATTTAAGAATGCAACATCCATCTTGTATATGAAAGATCCATCAACTACTAAGCACAGTCCGATCAACAACTATGGACTATTGCATATTGGCTCTGAAATCAACTTTAATAGTAAAAAAAAAAAAATCTTAAAATTTTTTTTAAAAAAAACTATTTTTTAGTATGTATATTGTTTTTAAGGCTATATGAATGAATATATTTGTAATTTTAGAAGTTAAAAAATTGAGATATTGAAATTCATTCGCAGTTTGGGTGAGCGTAAGTCAAATACTGTTAAATAAGGACCGCCGATGGGGTTTGACGCAGACTTTATGAAACTATGATGACGCAGTTTGCAATTTTAGAAGCACATAAAATTTAGCGCAATTTCGTAAAATAATTTTGTACAATTTAACCTAATTTTAGACATTAATTGACAGTTGGGGTCCACTTGTACTGTTTCTTTAAGTCCGTTTTTCGAATTTTACTATTTAGATTCTGTGTTTCCCGAAAAAAATATATTTTCTCAACTCACAAAATATAATATCAAACATTATTTTCATACCAAACCCAAACCATTTTTTTTTCCAAACTCATCAAAAGAAACACACCCGTAATGAATAGTACTATTCATTTTACATTATTTTTAGTATAAAAATATATTAATATTTTTAAAAATATAATATTTAAATAAAAATTAAATTAATATTTTATTTCAATTAATTTCATAGCAGTCAAGCATTTTATTTGTATGTAAAATGGATAAGCATTTTGACGAATTTGTTATTTGTTATTTATATTTATATTTATATCAAAATTAAAATATTTTGATATCAGTGTAAAAATATTTATATTATAATAAAAAATAATACTCTTATCCCTTAACAAATTATTTATTTTTGTATTTTGGTATATTAATTGTATTATCCACCTAATATTACAAATAATCTTTTAATTTACAAATATATGAGACAAATGTCATTACTTTTCTATCATACAATACCTACTAAAGTTAGTTTAGTCTTTTTACTTTTATTTCTATTATATCTTAATATAATATTAATATTTTTAAAATTTTATGTAAAAAGCAAACAGATTGATAGATATGAGACAGATGAATTTTTTAATAAAAAATAAAAGAGCAATATTTATTAAATTATATGTCAAAAGTAACCATGAAACATTCCTAAATTTACATGGTATTGTTTGAATAATCCTCCATTCGTCCACAAACTAATGTCGTACTTTCTTATTTGGGACGTCTAATAATTATTGTCCTATTTTTTTTTTTAAACACAAATTTTACATTTTTACCCTTCATTCAATTATTACTTTTAATCTCTATCATACAATTAAGGGCAAACTTGTCGATCTATAACAAAAAGATAATCATCTAAAAAACCGTACAAATATACTTTAAGACAATAGAAATTGAAAAAAAAAAGTATAATAATTACAGATATTTTACATCATCAAAAAATAAAAATAAAATAAATCCAAAATGTGGTGTATGAACCTATGTGATTGTTTTGATTATCGTATTGATTGAGTCAAATCAATATTATACTTTAAGTTAATCAACGTATATTTATAAATATGAAATATGCATAAATTTGACGGACAAAGAGAATAATATACTCCCTCCGTCCCATAACAAAATATCTATTTTTTCATTTTAGTCCGTACCATAACAAAGTATCAATTTCTTTTTTTAGTAACTATATTATCTACCTAATATGACAAATACCCTTACAACTTACAATATATTACGCAAATGCTATTACCTTTATATCACACATACTAATAAGGTTATTTTAGTCATTTCTACTTTATTCCTATTAAATCTCAATATAATACTAATATTTCTAAAACTACGTGCAAAAAACAAATGGATATTTAATTTCGGGACTGAGGGAGTATAATACATATTATATTATATAACTATATAACGCAATATTTCCAATTTTAATACAATATCACAATAAGCAGATTGTAATATATAATTCTCACAATACATATTTTTATATAACACAGAATACATTGTATATATTGTAATAAAATATTAATTTAATATGCTAATTTGATCAAATCAATATAATTCTGATTTAACACGCTCCAACCTGTGACCGTACATCCGGATCAGTATAGACGAGGCTGCAAATCCTGTGCTGATTGCTGATTTGATAGGATCAGACCGGCATATATTTATATATATTTCAATATGTATTGTATTATAAAATAACATATATTGAATTATAATATAATATAATATATTATAAATATATTGAGATATGTATATATATAATCTATATTAATCACCTCCATAGTATATGTTAGATTCAGTCAAATCAGTACTATACTTATTTGATCGGATCAACATCTAATTCATGTCTCATAGACAAAGATTTATTTTATTTCATTGGGTAAATTATATAATACCCCCTTGTGTTTTAGTAAAAATGTATAAAACAACATGTGTTTTATTTATTGCGTGAAACCCCTTTTGCACGAAACACCTTTCTTGTCCAAAACTGATGTTTGGTTTTAAATAAATACTTAAATTACGCAAATTTTATACAAATAAAAATATAAAATATCTTAAATAATTTATTTAATAAAATAAATAAATAAATAATTGATTAATCCTTCATTTTATAATTTTTTAAGACAAATTGGTATCTAATTTTTATATAAAAAAAACTATAATATTAAATGATTGATCAACTAATTATTTATTTATTTTATTAAAAAAATTATTTAAAATATTTTATGTTTTTCATTTGTATAAAATTTGTGTAATTTATATATTTATTTAGAACCAAACATCAATTTAAATAAATAGAATGTTTCATGCAAATTTTACGTTAATACAAAAGAAATTTTTACATTTTTACTAAAGAGAGTATTATACTCCATAATTTACCATTAAAATACACATATCATAGACAAAGATTAATTTAATTTAACTTTTATTACCTCGGATCCATCAGATTTCTGCTGTCAGAAAATCCACATCCAAAAATTCCTTAATCAAAACATAATAATAATAATAATAATAATAATAAACATAATAATAATAATAATAATAATAATATAATGATAATAACAATAATCTTCAAGTCCGCCTATGTACAGCTTCAACCCCCACCAAAACATGCACATAACTTCCCTCAGACACACCCTGCCCTAAAAACACACATTCAACCCGAAATCCGACCTGATCCAACATCCGACGGCACATAGTCGAGTGCCGTTGTGTCCCGTCCCGTTCCTACGCCGACTGCAGCGTCGTAACCTGCCCGGCTGCCGTCTGCTCGTAGTCGGCGCACGCCTCCGGAGTATCTTCCTCGCTCGGAGGAACCAACTGCCAGAAAAGCGGCAAGTATTTGTCCCAGTTCGACAAAATCTCCGACCCTTTTCCGCTGCCTGTTTTTTCCTGCGCAACACAACGCCGATTATGAATCGAGCTTTTCCGAATCCGAAAAACGTAATCGAAAACGTAATTCGTGTACTTACGACATGGGCTTCGATCAAGTTCTTCAGCTGCATTTGTCCTACCGGCGCAACCACGCGCTGAATCTTAACAATCTCCTTGTTCACCTTCGTAAAATTTCATCGCAAATTATCAATTAATCGAAATACTAGAGAGAAAACGAAAAAAAATAAAAGTCGCAAACCTTGGGGATGAGAGTATCGTCCTCGTCGAGAATGTACGCCAAGCCACCGGTCATACCAGCGGCGACGTTACGACCGACCCTGATAGACGCAAACACGGCGTGATTCGGGAGTCGATAATCGATAAGATGTTGCGGTGGATTTAATAAGACGAGCTTACTTTCCGATGACGACGACGCAGCCACCGGTCATGTACTCGCAGCAGTGATCGCCGGTGCCTTCGACGACGGCTTCGGCAAGCGAGTTTCTCACGGCGAAGCGCTCCCCGGCTTTCCCTCTCACGAAGATTTGACCGCCCGTCGCTCCGTACAGGCACGTGTTCCCGACAATGGTCGCGTCTTCGGGAGTGAACGCCGGGTTCTCGACTGGGGTCACCACTAGTTCGCCTCCGGCCATACCCTATGACGAGACACACGATATAAAAATCGTATATTTAATCTCGATTCGATCGTCAATTTTATTAAAAAGTAATTGAATTTACGAAGAATTGGATCGACTAACCTTCCCGACATAGTCGTTAGATTCTCCGACCAATCGAATGTTCATCCCCGGAGTCAAGAAACACGCAAATGACTGACCGGCGCTTCCGGTGAATCTGCAAAGCGCGACGAGGGAAACGATAAATCGCTCGATGCGGCCATATCGAAATAAAAACGTCAGTAAATTTCTAGGATGCGTTGTCTTACGTTAAGTTGAGCTGTCCGGCAAATCCGGTGTCGCCGTATCTCTTTGCGATCACACCGGCAATTCGACCGCAAACTGCTCTGTCGACATTGTATATGTTTATGGTTTTGTCGACAACCGTCTCATTCTCGATTGCTTTGGCAATCTGTCCGGAAATTAAACGAGATCGAAAATCACGATAAGTCCGCAAAAGTTTTGAATTTGAACTATCAAGAATTACCTCCGGATCGGCAAGCAATGTGTCGTCGAGAACAGGGCCATTGCTGTGTACTTCCTGGTTCCGAATCACCGTGCTGCTCCATTTCGGGTATCCGGAGTTCTAGAACAGCGAATATTAACGATTTACGGGCATGATAATCATACTCATTTTGAAATCGATTTGAATATATATATATATACAGAATACTTACGGAGAGAATGTAACCAAGGTCGATGTGCTGAGTCTTCACCAGCGAAATATCGCGATGTTTTAGTAGCTCGGTGTGGCCGATTACGTCGTCAAGCTTTTCATAGCCGAGTTGCGCCAACATGCCTCTTACCTAGCAAAAGATTTCCATCTAAGGGTTAGTTGAAACGAAAATTTACGGCGCACAACTATAGGAAGATCGAGGCAAATGCAAAAAAAATGGCGGATACCTCTTCGGCGACATACAAAAAGTAATTGACGAGATCGCCGGGCACGCCGGGGAACCGGGCTCGTAGCTCTTCCCTCTGAAAAAACAATCGATTGTAAGATATTGTCGACATTGCGACAGGGAATTGGAATAGCGGTACAAGAATGTAACCTGACTGGCGACGCCGACGGGACAATTATTCGTGTGGCATATACGAGCCATGACGCACCCGGTGGCGATCATGGCAACGGAACCGAATCCGTATTCGTCGGCACCCATCGCCGCAGCCATGATTACATCGAATCCACTCTTGAAGCCGCCGTCGACTCTGAGAATGACCCTTTCCCGAAGCCCGTTTTCGATGAGCGTCTACACATGATTTCGGGTCTAATCAATCGATACAAACACATCGAACACGAAATTAATCTCATGTCGAACGACGAGAAGCGAACCTGATGCGTTTCCGTAAGCCCGAGCTCCCAAGGACCTCCGGCATGTTTAATTGAACTCACGGGGCTGGCACCGGTTCCACCGTCGTGTCCCGATATCTGTATGATATCGGCATTGCCCTTAGCGACGCCAGACGCCACCGTACCGATGCCCGCTTCCGCAACGAGCTTTACGGATACTTTAGCCTTGGGATTGACCTATTCGACGAAAGTTTCCGTTAATTCATAATTCCGAAAATACGGATATGACAGGCGATTCACCTGGTGAAGGTCGTAAATCAGCTGCGCAAGATCTTCGATCGAATAGATGTCGTGATGCGGAGGTGGAGATATAAGAGGGACGCCGGGCTTCGAGTTTCTTAACCTTGCAATGTACGCGCTAACTTTTTTTCCCGGCAACTGTCCGCCTTCTCCAGGCTTTGCACCTTGAGCGATCTTGATTTCGATTTGATCGGCATTAGCTAAGAATGTCGGGGTGACGCCAAAACGACCCGAAGCTACCTGATCGAGCAAAATCATAACCGTTTACAAAAAATTCGATGAACAGCTAAGAAAAGTGTAACGAAAATGGATTCCGACCTGCTTTATGGCACTCGTAGCCGTGTCGCCGTTTTGAAGGCCTTTAAGATGAGGAAGCGTCGGAGAGTACCCATCGACGACATCGGTAAGTGGATTCCATCGAATTGGATCCTAGGTGAAGGTTAAACAAAAGTATTACATTTCATCACAGCAATGGAAATCATCGATTTTGCTACAAATATATTACCTCGCCACCTTCTCCCGAATTAGACTTCCCGCCCAATCTGTTCATTGCTACGGCAATTGCTTCGTGAGTTTCTCTTGAGATAGCGCCGAGCGACATGCCACCAGTACAGAATCTCTCGACAATCGAAGAGGCAGGTTCAACTCTTCCAACTGGGATCGGAGAACGATCACTCTTCAGCTCAAGAAGATCTCGGAGAACCTGCAGATGGTAAACATGCATAAAAGTCGAAATAACGAACGTATAAAGTAGGCACAGATTAAATTAATTTTTGGTCTTTAAGAAAGATCGGGATTTCCATAAAAGCTACTCACATTCACAGGTCGGTTAGCCAAATGCTGCTGATAGATCGAATATGCACTTTCACTCTTTTGTCGCACGGCTTTGTGCAGCAGTTTTGACATCTCGGGATTGTTTCCATGATATTCACCTTCATAAAAAGCACGATGAAATCTAAAAGGAACCATAAAAACATACTATGCGCTCGAAAGGAAAATGTACCTCCAGGTCTAAATTGAATGAACCCAAAGTTTTCGAGTCTTTTTGCAGTGTCTTCAGAGAAGGCTTTAATCCAAAACGATAACGTCTCCCTTGCCAACTGAAAAATAAATTTATTCATTTTAGAACAGCTCAACAATGAAATCGTCGAGGCAAGTCTATATTACAAATACAGTAGTATAAAAGTTCACAAACAGATCAAACGTCTCTGAGCATGGAAGTCCACAAGAAAAAAGCCGAATGTTGCGCTCTAAATTGGTTACCTCGTCCATGGTCAATCCTCCAATGCTTGACCTACTCCCACAAAATGCAATGTCGACTATATCTTGACCCAGTCCGTAGATTTCGAATATCTGAGCCCCACAGTAACTGAAACAAAAATATGCATCCACTTCTTATCGCTGAGTATAAATGAAATGCATGCAATCGATGAAAACAAATTATTTAAGCTACTGATGAAAATGTTACTCAGAAATGGCAGCCTACCTGGACAGCAAAGAAATGCCCATTTTCGAGAGAATTTTCATAAGGCCAGCTTTAACAGCCTGAAATGAAGATAAATAAAAAATGAAAAAAAACATCGATCTCTTCAACAAACGTTAACAAGAAAAGGAACTAAAAGAACACACCAAGAGACCAACATCCAAAGGAAAAATTATGGTAGGTACTATATCAGCAATCATTGTTTTTTTTGGTAAAATTGTTCAGAACTGCCCCGTGGTTTCGAAATTGAGCGTAAAATCTCTCCATACTTTAAAAATTACATGGCGCCCCCTTGTACTTTAAAAAAATGTTGCATAAAACCCACCGCCATGAAACTTTCATTGTGTAATAAGGAAATGATTTCCTATCTATATTTTCTGCATGATGTTGATGTTTTATGCAACATTTTTGAAAATATAAGGAACGCCATGCAATCTTTTAAAGTAAATAGGGGATTTATGCCGAGTTTCGAAACTACAGGGGGTTTCATACAATGTATTTTAAATTATAGGGGAGAGTCATGCAATTTTTTAAAGTAAATGAGGGATTTACGCTGAGTTTCGAAACCACAAGGGAGTTATGAACAATTTTGCCTTCTTTTTTTTAATCGACATGACATAATATCATCTATAGTTGATCTCCTAGAATATTTGACAACTATTCACTTGATAATATTTGATCATAAAATTTGCCTCATCTCTTAGGTTATTTATTTTGTATAATTGCTCCAAGGAAAACCTCATTATGTAAACAGTTTATTCAATACAGGAAAGTACAGAGATAATAAGAAGACCTTGCAGAAATTCTTCTGAGCTTGTTCGATTGTAACTGTAGGCATTTTTCCACTCCTCATCATGTTCACAGTTTTATTACTCAACCGCCACTGGCGACAAGTCTCCAATGCCAGGTATGGGCATACAGCACTGGAAAGATGAAAATGAAGAGTAATCAGTCGATTCATATCTAAGGTATGCAGATATTACGGCAAATAAAGATGAACTTTCTCATAATGGTTCATCATAAGCTCAAAGCAGGAAATGCTGGTTGTGTGAACACTGTGTTACAGAACACTACTAATAATCACAACCATTCGAAGACTACTGCATTCAACTTAAGACACATAATCGAAAACCTATTTTAATACAATATTAAATGAAAAGTTTATTCAAAATATCACATCCACCACCTAATTTTCATTCAAAATTTTACGGTTTCCAAAACAACCAAAATCCCGTAACACTTCTAAAACACTAAACTGCCCGGGAAAAAGATATATGGGTATGTAATGGTGTCATCTGCAGCAGAAAATTCTGGGATTTAGGAATTTAAGTGAATCTCATAAAGGTATAAATCAAATGAGAGGTAATACAGACCTGGCACCATATCCAATCAAACATGCAAACTGATGAGTACTGAAGCACTGAGCTGTATCAGCTATGATGGAAGCTTGCATCCGGAGCCCATTCTCAATCAGGTGCTGGTGAACGGCACCAACAGCTAGAAGTATTGGAATGGCAGGCCGAGTAGCATCCTAAGGACAGTAAAAGGTTAAAAGGATGGATTTATTTATAATCTTACCATAAGCATAATATAGTAAAGTGACGGTGGAAACCCAAAGAGTTACATGATGAAGAAAATTTATTGCTAACAACGTAAAAAGCAGCTCACATATTCACTGTATAGAATGTGAAAACATGGCACACTGTTATAATCGTAAAAACTATGATAGTGAGGAAAAAATAGTTAAACTAGATGTTAATGAAGCCAAATTTCATTCACTTCAGAAGCTATTCATTTCAGTAATTTGGTAATTCTACATGAAAATAAAAATCTTACCAGCTCGTCAGCTCTGTCGGATAGAATGAGAAGCTGGGAACCATTTCTTACAGCTTCATCAGCGGCTTCACATAGCTTGGATAAGGTTTTCTCCAGAGAACCTTCAACTCCCATCCTGATGTTGAAAAATGTCGGCAAAACTTGGGGCTTCAAGAGTGGATCTTTTGTTAAAGACTCAAGCTCCTCTTCATTCAGCACGGGGTTTGACAAAATAATCTGTTTACACGAATAATGACTTACCACATTCCAAATAATAATTAACAAGATTTTAAAAAGGCCGCCACTCTTTAAATTTTAAAACGATCTCCTAACATAACCTATACCTGAGAGGCATTCTCAGGACCAACTCCTAGAATGTTTCCTCGCTTCCCAAGGTTAACTTCAAGGGACATGACTAAGCCTTCTCGAAGAGGATCAATAGCGGGATTTGTTACCTGGTTTAAACACGGATAAAGAACCATTTGTGATTAATATAAACTTCAAAAAGCCCAAATATTCATACTTTTAAGAGGCATATACCACTCCAAACAAGAGAAACAGAGGAACTAAATGTTACAGTACAATATTTGCTAAATGAAGCAACATGCTCGATATAAGAAGGTATTGGAAACAGGATATCATTACCATGTAGTTGGAGATCAATTATGTGCCACAGCAGATGAATAGTCACACGAATCACTATATCTATCGTAAATATTGGACCAAAAAACTTTCCAGGAAGTTCATGGAATTGGTGCAAACCTGAGCAAATCGTTGCTTGAAATAATCATATAACATATGAGGCCTTGCAGATAATACTGCCAAGGGGATATCGTCTCCCATGCAAAAAGTAGGCTCCTTCCCTTGAGAAGCCATTGATTCAATCACCATTTGAACATCTTCACTTGAATATCCAAATGCCCTATTGTTAAAGGAGCAATAAAATTGATATTCAGATATGGATTTTTTTATTTTATTTTTTGTCCATTCTTTACAATATCTACATGAAATATTGCATAGGCTCAGTTCAACTACAAGGGAAAAGATATGCAGAGGAAATGGGTTGACTATTTAATAATACCCTTTCTCATATACATTGTCCGATTAGTACAAACAACTAATGATACCAATCAACAAGTTGCACGAAAGAAATATATCTATTCTCGAGTATAGCAATAGAAGATTGATGAACATGATGAGCTAAGTTCTATATAAGTAATCCAGCAGTACATACATAAAAATTTCCAAAACACTTACTGTTGACGCTTTAGAATCGTTTCACTGTCCATGATGGTTGCAGACCAAAAGTTTGCAGCCTTTAAAGAGCGGAGATTTTCATTCACCCATTTCCCATAGGGATTTAATAGTGCAACTCGCCTTTTAACTTCAGTATTTTCAAACACCTACGGTATATTAATAAAAATTAGTGACCAGCAAAGAGACATAATTTTCTAAATAGTAATGCATAATTTGATTGCAAATTTCCTGTAAAGCACACATGTGACTTGTAAGTTGCAAAGGGAAACTGAAGCATCTTCCCCACAAGAAAGCTATGTCGTAAAAAGGATATCAAAACAAAAACAACAAAATATCATTGTTCCAGAGCCATGCAGCCCAAGCCATCTAGCTAGGGCACCTCCATAGGTTGAAGCAGAATAATAAGAGGAAGTCGTATAAATGCTAACTTTGTGCAAAAATAATGCCAGATTCCAGCTCAACAAGAGAGAAAGTGAAGTGCTGTTTATTCACCAAACTAGTAGGCAAAAAGGACCCAAAATGGGTTAACTATTTGGTAAATACCAAGTACTCTTTGAAATTAGTCACATTGTAAAAGAGTACACGAAATGCCTCTGTGATATCATACATTGCAAACAACAATTCATGGGAAATTGGGAATATTACAATATGAAGCAAGTTGGTAGGTAGGATGAGGAAGTCGATGATTAATTGTATTATATATCTAATCCAAGTTCTAGAGTTGATTGCTTATTGCCATACTGAGTAGGAATCAATTTCGGTTATGTATCTTTATTTATAAATAGAACTTAGTAGTAATAGGAGCTGAATCATCAAAAAGACTTTGTCACTTCAGCTGTGGCCGGGACAGGAACTATCCATATATGACACAAAGAGATTCCTGAATTTGCTTTTGTTTTTTAAATTTCTTCTACATAAGATTTTTGTATCATAACACAATAATATATCAACCATCATTTTGAAACCATCTACGTCAAAAATCAAAGGAAATACCTGTCCATTAGTTAAGTCAACTGCTATCATCATCCCAGGACCTAACCGCCCTTTCATTATAACTTTCGAGTCATCTGTTGGTAGAACGCCCACCTGAAAAGTTATGAAGGGGCCTTAATCAGTTTGTCATGTACATAGAAAGGTAAGACTATATAGTCTGGTCAACAGAAAAGTACTTTTTGCATCATAAAAATCTTCTAATACACGCTGGGACCATACAACCATGCATTCAGGTACTTATACAACAAATAATACATAAAAAAAAAAAAACAAAAAACAAAAAACGCTGTAGGACATAACTACAAAACTTTACAAAGGATATCAGTCATATAAAAAAAAAGTTACAAATTGATCTGAAAAATCAGAAAAAAAAAATGAAAACCAGAGAATATTTTAGAAGATTAAAGCAAGTGGGTAAACACCACTGGTTTTTCATGAGATATGAAGGCCATATTGCCTTGTTTACAAAGAAAAACAGAAGCTCTTGCTCTAATCAAGTAAAGAGGAAAATATTAGTCCTCGGATCAAAATAACAGTAGAACATCTACTTGATATATTTCAGAAGCATTAAGTATCGAAACAAGAACACTTTGCCATGGAAAAATAGCAGCAGTGCAAATATTGGTTATCATACTACGATTAGATATCAGATGCTTTCAACTTGGCAGTAAAAACACCGGAGCAATTTTCCCCTCAAGTGTGCAAATATAACTAAAATAATAATATAAACTATTAAAAAACAAAAGGAAGCAAACCTCGGAGGCAACATAGACAACATTATCCACTGTCCGCCAATATCTAGCAGGGCGAAGTCCATTTCGGTCAAGACATGCTCCAACTGTTTTCCCATCACTGACATAATGATGTCACAACATAAATAAGAATGTGGAGATTAAATTCGGGCAATTTACCAAACACACAGCCACAAAAACAAAGAAGAAATGAAGCAACCACAAAAGTATGAAGATATTCATAATCTGTAAGGTCTCATAAAAACCTGCTATCATGATAACTAGGCAATATCCACGACAAGCAGAATGGAAACTAATATAGGCCTAACATCATAACATAAAAACATACATTATTGTCGCACAGTAGAAATTTTACCTGAATAACAGTAAAGCAGGTCCATCCCAAGCTTCCATTTGGCCTTTGTAGTAATTATAAAAATCTGCAACCTAAAGCCAGTTCATTGTGAGTCTTATTTAATAGGCATCGTACATGACATAGAACACAAGCGAACTCTGAGTTTGTTGCTTCGATGTGGTAAAATTGAGGCAACAACAGAAACTGGGCAAGCAATCATGGTTGGAAATAAAACTAAATATGCAGTTGGGAGAACTGTAGAACTCTCAGAGAAGCTCTACGATGAAAAAGATAATATACCTCGGGATATTTGATCAATAATGTCGGGTGATTCTTGTACGCCTCTGGGACAAGAAGCATCAAGGCTTCCTCAGGTGTGCGCCCACTTCTTATTAACAACTGCATACATTTATACAAGGCATGGTATAGAGATTATGCATTTAGTTTTATCGTAAGAAAGTAAATAAAATGAAACAAGAACCACAGGCAAGCAATGCAATAATTGTCCCAAAACAGTGACAAAAGCATTTGGCCATACTTCTGCGGCACTATCAAGGTTTGCAGAGTCGGAAGCTTTAGGGTTTCCGAAAGGCCGAAGCTCATTTTCACGACCACGCCAGACGGGAGATTCTAATGAAGTCTCCCGAGACCGCATCCAGTTCAAATTCCCCTGCAAAACAATCTCAACTTCAATACACCACCATCTAAGGTATGCATAACAAAGATCATCAGCACAAAGTTATTACCTGTATTGTATTAATCTCTCCATTATGACCGAGAAACCTCATCGGTTGAGCTAGAGGCCATCTAGGACTAGTATTTGTACTATATCTACGGTGGTATATAGCAAAAGGGGATTTATAAACTTCATTTTGTAGATCATAATAAAACAGACCAAGAACCTCAGACCGAAGCATTCCCTTATAAACAATGGTTTGGTTGGATAACGAGCAAAAGTAGAGATCATTCCCCCATGATTCTGAACTTGCTGCTCTTTCAATCAACTTTCGACAGATGAAAAGTTCTCTTTCAATGTCAGCAATATTTTCTTCTTTTGCAATTTGAACAAAGACTTGCTGTATATTTGGCATAGCTTCTTTTGCATAGTAACCAACCACCGAACTATTTACAGGAACTGATCTCCAGCCAAGCACTTGAAGGCCCTCTCGATTAAATATATCCAAAATAACTGCATGAAGGAGATAATATGTGTTTGTAAATCTGGTTCAGAATACAGTTAGAAAACTCAACAAATACACGACTGTAAAATAAAAGCCTATTACTCAATTTAAAAAATAGAAGTGAAAAGGGATCCCTTGAGTAATTGCACTCATTGTTTTCAAATTCATTTCAAGCATTTAAGAAGTATTTACAACAAAATAAAATTTCAGATACTGTTGAGCTGATCATATATTAGTTCCTCACTCCTACTCGAAAGATCAACAATTGCCAATGTTTTGGCATACGTTTTTCCCATATCAACACTCTTTACGTCTCTAGTGAAAAACTTTTGTATTGATTGGAACAAAGGTGTTTTCTCACATTGGATGCTAATCGACATGAACAAAGTCTAGCTTATTTAAAACTATTCGCAATCGAGCCATCATTCTGTAACTCAATGTTCTGTTATTCAATCAAGAAATCCCTTAAAAATAACTGACCTGCTTGAGCCTGTTTCATCAGGTCCTCATCCTTCGGTAGAAAGATCATTCCAACACCAGTGTGCAACCGATCAAAAGCATTCATCCCCTGTTCGCCCGCCCACTTGTCGAACATATCCCATGGAATTGAAGTCATCACTCCGGAACCATCCCCAGAGTCATTATCAGCTCCACAACCACCACGATGTTCCATGCAACCCAGAGCTGCAAGTGCATCCTTAACAATTCCATGCGATGCTTTGTTGTCCAAATTGGCGATAAATCCAACTCCACAAGCCCCTCTCTCAGATAAAATGTCATCTAAGTGTGCAGCCTGAAATGAAATTTTACAAAAGTCAAACCACATCGTGCAGATGAAGAGTGAAATAGATAGGAAGTCACTTGACATTGAGGAAATAATTATTCTAAGATACAAACAAATTCAATAGCATGCATAATCAAGGTAAATCACCATTAATCTATTCAAGGGGCATCTTGCAAACATAACAGAAAGAAAATAAATCTTCAATATGGGTAACACTAATTCATTATGTAACATGCTACATATGCTAAGAAGTACAAGCTTTCAAAGGGTTAGTTCAATACTGAGAAGAGATAAATCTTCAAGCCTAAATATTCATTTATCCAAAACAGATAATAGAGATATCCCGACTAACTTAATGTGTTCTAACATATATTGGAATATATCAGCATCGGGAGTCAGCTTCTTAAGCCAGTTTGACTCAGACAAACCACTAAAGTCATTTAAACTCATCATCAACAAAAATTCAATCTAGTCTTGAAAATCATATATGCTCCAATCAATCTGTTATCATCTTGTATTTCGTACTCGCATTATTCCCGGGTGCTTAACTTTCTACTACAACATGCTGTCTGACTCCCTAATCCTCTGATGATTCAACCAAGATCTCTCGTCTTGACACTATGATCTAGATAAGTTCCACATGACCAATTGTGTTAGCTCATCTATAGACAATATATGCATCTTCAAACTTATGGTCTCCTCATATTTCAACTCCTTTCCATGAAATTCATCAAAACAACAATCTAAAGAATATGAAGCATGCAACTAATCGGAAAGCCGGGAAGCAAAAGAAAGAATACCAAAGTCAAAGTTTCAGCACTATATCATGTCACAGTCAATCAAGATTCATCAGGTAATGTACAAAGTCATCAACCTGTCGTCGAATCATCTTTAACTATCCAAACCTTGTTCCACAAAAGCGATTGCAGGCATTCAACCTCAAGGGTAAACAACCGAGACAAACAAACAACCTCAAAATTTTCAACAGAAGCATTGATACAGACAAAAATCAAACCATCCCTAACCCCACACACCATGGATAAACAGAGTAAATATACATATATATATATATAACACAATAGCCTCTCCGGAACCCAAACTTCCCCAAAAATCGAAGATAATCAACATCTGAATCCCCAAAAACACCAATTCGATCATCGAATCAAAAACCCACTGCGGAAATTTTCAATAAACATCACCTCTTGCACCGGAGCAGAAAACCGTGGGTCCGACCCACCGGCGGCACGGTGAACCTCAAGAACAGAGTTAATGGAGGAGGCGAAGTTGTTGTTCCTGGCTAGACCAAGAATATGATTCCTCTGAGCGTTCCTCGGACGATGATGGCCCCGAGTTTTCCTGAAATTCTTACTCCGACACAAGCCGACAAAATCAACGAAGACCAAGTCCCGGCGAGAACTCTCGGTGATGCTGGTACCGGCGAAGAGCTTGATGGACTGAGCAATCTGACTGGGCGAGTGCAGAGACATGTTTCAAAAGCAAGAAAAGGGTATGTACATAGAAGAAGAATTCAGGCTGAGCAGTAGAGAGTAGATGATGGTGTAGAATGTGTGGAAGGGTGAAAAGGGAATGGATAGAAGGGGGAAGAAAACGTGGGGAAGGAAGGTGAGTTCGGAAACTGAATTGATATGGAAATGGAATCAATGGCTACTGGAAAAGTGGCCACAGCACTGCCCTGACGCCTCAAATCTGCCGATAACGTTTTGTGGAATTGTGTGTCTGTCTCTGTCTTTCTGTGTCTGTTTCTTTCTTTCTTTGTTTCTTGGTTTTCTGTTGTTGATGTTGTTGTACGGATATCTCTTTCGATGTCTATCACGGTTAGAATTGATTATACATGCATGTATAGATACAGATAGATATAGAGTGAGAGAGGGAGAGAGAGAGTGAGGTTTGACCTTATGGAGAGACCAAAGGTCAATAAGGTGAAGGAATGGAGCGAGCTTGCTCCACGTCATCGATCACACGAGCTTAACTTGATCAAAAGAAACTTGTGTGTTCATACAACACCAACAAAAGAAAATACTCGGTTCCTATTTTCGAGTAGCAGCTTACAATTCTCGCATTATAAAAAAAATAATAATAAAAATAAAAAAAAAAAAAAAAATACTCTCCGTTCTCGTTAGAGTTGTTTTAAACCAATTAACAGCTCGACGAGAGATAAAGAAGTCGAGCTTGAACTCAAAATTTTTATTTGTATTTTTTTCGCAAATAACTCAATTAAGCTTGTTACTAATAATATATTTATATTATTTATATATTAATGTAATATATATTTTTTATATAAAAATTTACGTGTATTAGTTAAATTTAAATATTTTTATTATAAAAAATTATGAATAAAATTAAATATATTTGTTATATATTAAAATATTGTAAAATTTTACTGAGCCTATAACTGGATTTTAACGTTTGGACCCGTGGATAGATCCAAAAAGAAAATAAGCCTTCAAACACCCATAGGAGGAAAAGGTAAGTTAGTCAGTCGCTTGGTTGGTCGGTTGGTCAGTCGGTAGCTTGCCTGGTCGGCTGTCCAATCGGTAGCCTGTGCGGTCGGTTGGTCAGTCAGTAGCCCGTCCAGCTGACTAAGTTTGTCCGTAGTCTGTTTGATCGGCTGATTTGTCCACAGGTTGTCTGGTCGGCTGGTAGCATAAAATGCAACCAAAGAGCGGTTTTCAGACGGTTGCAATCGCAAGGGGGTTTTCGTTAGTTACAACCGACTGTGCACACGATCCGATAACTAACTTAGAGAGCATATAACAAGCAATTCGCGTTCAGCAAAAGACATCTTCAATGAGCATCAATTTCAGTGAAATTCGCTTTGGAGATCATTTTTTTTTTTTTTTAGTATCTTCTACTTTTATTTTTATTGCATTTTGTACAGTATCTAGGGATCTTCGATTTCGGATATTATTGTAGTCAAATTCGAATTTATTTCGGATTTTACTTTTCATTGTTGGTTGAAAACAACATCAACAATATTTAATTTATATATTAAAAAATATATAGAATAGGTACAAAAGTCAAGTCGAGCTCGAGTTCGAGCTTTACTAGCCAAGCTCGAGCTTGAATTTGAATCTAACGAGCCGAGCTCGAGCCATTATTTTGGTTCGAATTCTAAACAAACTAAGTACGTACCGTTAACAAGTTTGAGTTGAGATTGAACAACCGATTATCGATCTCGCTCGGCCTGCTTGACAGCTTTAGTTCTGATATGTTAGATGGTCGGATAGATAGATGAATTAAAGGTTTTGGATTGTATAAAAGTGGGATAAAAAAATAGATAACATACTATTTAAAAGATAAAATATGATATTTAGGGTAATTTAAGAATAAATGACTACCGTGAAAAATCTACAATGAACGATGACGAAGCATGCTGAAAAGACTTAAAAAAATGTTTGACAATTAGCTGTCAAATTATTCAATTAGTTGTTAGTTGTTAAGTGATTCGATCAGTTGGTTTACTAGCTGAATATATTAGTTGTTTGTATTAAAATGTTTTGTAAAATAGTTGTTTGATATTAGTTGTTTATATTTATAATGACAATTAAGAACATTTTGTATTTTTTTAAGAAAATACTCACTCGGTCAAATTTACTCTCACTTTCATTTTTAATTTGGCTGCTAAATTTACTCTATTACTAATTTTAACAAAGTCAACAAATATAATATTTAACTATTATTTTTCATTCAACATTTATTAACAAATATCACTACATTTATTTCATTCTATCTCCTTATTTCTTTAATTTTTAATTAAATTTTCAAGAATATTTTCAACTATTTTTTTACTTTTTTAATAAAATATTCATTTTTCTTAATTTCCGTATCGAATCCAAATATCCTAATTTTTGTGAACGGAGGGAGTAATTAGTTGCGTTTGTTCGGTGCGTAGAATTTTTTAAAATTTTTATTAATTACTTATCGAAAATTATGAAAATTTTATTAAAATATTTATTTTTTGTTAATTTTAAAATATTTTGTAAAAAAATTAATGTATTAAAATTATGTAGATAATATAAAAATAATAAACATGCATAGTGTATATATATATATTTTCTTTTTTGGAGAAATGGGTTGAATATCTTTTGAAAATAAACAAACCTTAACACTTACACAATATACACATCATATATACTTTAACCATTTAAAAAAAATAAAAATTAATAATTCAATACAATATATTATTTTTTATATTACCAACACAATTATTAATATTTAACATAAAAACCATATTCATTCATAAACACTGAAGAAACACACCCAAATATTAAAAACTTTGTATTAATAGAAATAACACATTAAATAATAATTTAATAAATACAGATATAAGTATACATAAAACAAACAATAAATTATTTAAAAAATTGGTTACATTACCTCAATTTATATATACATACATTATTACTTTTCCATAAAAAAAAAAAAAAAAATCTAAAACATTATTGACTTAAAAAACTAAAATAAAAAACAAAAAATTAAACTCCGGAAAATACTGGTCTAACAGAATTATTATAGAAAAATTGTAATTATTGTATAATAAAAAATTTAAATTCACAAACAAACCCAAATCAAATATATTTTTAATTATTAATGTATTTTTATTAATAATTATTATTATTATATTTTAATATTGTATATTACTTAAAAGAGAAACACTCAATACAATATGAAATACAATAATGTATTAGTACGTATATTATATAGTTAGCTGGCCACATCAACTAACTTTAAATAGCTAAATAATGAATTAGGTCAAATTACTTTTCAATAATTTTTAAATGTGCCAAGTGACAATAAAAAAAATTTTATTTGATATATATATTATGTGAAAAAATATATATTTGGTGTACAATAATACTTTTTTAAAAATATTAATATTGAGTTTATTCTTACTATGTTAAATTAAAATCAACAATATTTACTTATCACACTTTTCAATAAAAATATATTATTTTTCTCTCAAGAAAAAATCACGTCAAAATATTATTTAAATAAAAATTCAAATTAATATTTTATTTTAAATCGATTTTAAACCACAACTAAATAAAAATATGTATATAAATATAACCTAAAATATTGAATGTGATAGTTTTGTAAGGGAAATAATAAATTGAAAACTAAAGAAGAAATTTCAAAAATTACAAATTAAATAAAATCTGGACATTTTTTAAATATATGTTTGTTTGGTGAAATGGTTGGAAATTATATTTTTTTTTTCTGTGAAGTATAGAAAATTTGTTATAGAATATAAAAATAATAAATGTATGTAATGTATTATTTTTTTAAAAAAAAGTGTGTGTAAGAAAATTGAAAGAACAAAGTCGTGTCCTTTTATTAGGGTGTATTTGGTTACCTTCTTGAGTTGAAAGTTGAATCGAAAATGATTTATTTAATTTATAACATAATATATGTAATATTTATAAGATTTAAAATATATGTTTATGTTGTGACGGATTAGGGTTAACGATCGAATAACAAACAGAAAATGTAAAGAAGATACAGATTTACGTGGTTCATAAAAAACGAGTTGGCTACCTCCACGGACAGAAACAGAGAACAGATTTTATTTCAGGTTTTCATATATCTAAATTTAGGATATAATATCTAATATTCAAATCATATCTTAGGATATAATACCTAATATCAAAATCATATCTCTAACTTCAAGGCATATCAACAGTTTAATTATTTATACAATGTGAATATCAAATACTCATTCCGTCCCATAAGTAAGTATCCATTTGTTTTTTTCATGTAGTTTTAAAAATATTAGTATTATATTGGGATATAGTAGGAATAAAGTATAAATGACTAAAATAACCTTATTAGTATGTGTGATATAAAAGTAATGACATTTGTGTAATATATTGTAAGTTATAAGGGTATTTGTAATGTTAGGTAATATAGTACAGTTACTAAAAAAAAAAATGGATACTTTGTTATGGGACGGAGGGAGTACAATTTTATATAATACAATTAATTTAAAAAATACAACTATTTATTTATTATTCATATAAATAAGTTTTATAAATAAATGAGGAGTTTTCAATGTATATAAATATATTTATTTATTGAAAAAAAATTATTATTATTTTTTAAAAATAAAATTTAAGTGAATTTTATATGATGGAGTAATTTTTTCTAATAAATAAACCAAACATATTTTGAGGTCTAAAGTATATTCTCTGTGTTTTGATTTAATATATAAATAATAACACTTGTTATTTGATTAGATGTATTAAATTGTAAATAAGAAAAGATAATTCACACTAACACACTTCAAGTGGTCACAAAAAGTTGTGATTGTTATTTTTTACTACTATTATTTTAGTGACTGCCATTTGATATTTTATATGTCCATTCATGACCTCAATAATTTAATTATTGTCTTTGTCACACACACACACACATATATATATATATATAATAAAAATGAATTTGTTTGATTATTGGTTGGTTCAACTATTATACTCCCTCCAACCCAGAGGTAAAATATTTATTTGCTTTTTGCACGTAGTTATAAAAATATTAATATTATATTTAGATATAATAGCAATAAAATAGAAATGACTAAAATAATCTTATTAGTATGTGTGATACAAAAATAATGACGTTTGTGTAATATATTGTAAGTTGTAAGGGTATTTGTAATGTTAGGTAGATAGTACAGTTACTAAAAAATAAAATGAATACTTTTTTATAGGACGGACTAAAATAGAAAAATAAATACCTTGTTATGGGAGTAAGGGAGTATTTAATTCTTTTTATTTCAACTATTTTTTAAATATGA